ATACAAAATGGTTGGATAGTCAGTACCAGAAACTAAACGAGAATTCTCACAAAAAAATTAAAAAAGAAAATAAAAAGTATATGGAGAAGCAATACCAATGAGTTCGTAATATGTACAAACACATTGCACAACCATTTTTTTAAGAGAGAGAGAGAGAGAGAGAGAGAGAGAGAGAGAGAGAGAGAGAGAGAGAGAGAGAGATTTTGGACAAGTAGTACAAACCTATTTGGACAAGCAGTAAAAATGATTAGATAACTAGTATAAAACGGTTAGATAATCAGTACAAATAAACTGGACGTTTATTTTCATAAAAAAAGAAGAGAAAAAAATGGTTGGATAACTAGTGCCAAGAAATTGGATAATTATTACGAACACATTGGATAACCATTTTTCAAAAAAAAATTGATTGGATAAACATTAAAAGTAAAATGGATAATTAGTTCAAGCAGTATAAACTGGTATGATAATCATTATAAAACAATTAGACAAGGATATTCAAAAAAAAAATCGAAAAAAAAAAATAGTTGGAGAAGCAATACAAACCGGTTGGATAATCAGTACTATGAATACACTGGAAAACCATTTTCTCAAAAAAAAAAACGAAAAAAAAAGATTGGACAAGAAATATAAGTCTATTTGGATAAGTAGTAAAAATGATTGGATAAGTAGTAGAAATCGGTAGGATAATTAGTAAAAAAAGTGACCAATGATTTTCATTAAAAGAAGAAAACAAAAGAACAAAAGTTTGGATAAGCAGTACTAAATGGTTGGATAATCAGTATGAACACATTGGATAAGTATTTTCTCCAAAAAAAATGATTGGATAAGTAGTACAAACCAGTTGAATGATCAGTACAAACAAAATGGACAAGCATTTTTGTAATGCATTTACAGCAAACAAGCCGTGCATATCCATCATGCTCTGTTTTGAATTTATAATGCTTAATTATGAATGTATATTCATTGATTTTGTGTTGCCTATCCATGCTTCGTACCTGCCTATCCGTGTTTAGTCAGGACTTTTCTACTGCATATCCAAATATAATTCTGCTCAAAATATTTAAATGTGTTAAAAACTCGAAAAAAATATTCGATATAAATCTCGTTGGATAGATTTCGATGAATTAAATAAGTTTCATGTCTGGCACGTTTTCTAATTCTTCACAAATTGAGAAATATGTTTTTTTAAATATTAGAGATGTTTTTTAAAGGAAAGAGAAAAAAGTAACAAGAACTTGTAAAATATAAGAAGATTGTGAAAAAGTACAATAAGAATGATATATGTAAAAAAAAGGAAGGAGACCTCGGTACACTCCGGTACACCCAAAATGGACTCTGATGAAGGGAAGGAGAAGGGGAATTCAAAAAAAAAAAAAAAAAAAAACCTCCTTTGTTTACTTTGTTTTTTTCTCTATTTTTATCAAAAAAAAGTTAATTATCTTGAGGTCAAGCAAATCAAAAGGGTAAGAAAAAGAAAAAAAAATTGACTTCAAGTAATTTTTTCTTTATTTACGAAATTAAAAGACAAAAAAGAAAGGGGAAAAATGATAACAAAGAGAATAAATATATATATATATATATATATATCCATATAACCGTTGAACAAAAAATATATATATAAATAAAAATAGAAAATATCTAGGATCCCAATAATTGCACTTCATGGGATTTCAATACCTACTGGGTTTTGTGTTTCTGAATTTCTGCCTATCTCATCTGTGAGTAAAATAATTAAGTAGTTAAAATTGCATACTTAATAACTTCTTACGCATTAAATACCCGCTCAATTCCTACATATCTGACCAATTGCCAGCTTGACTCAAATCTCCTATGTTGCCAGATAGATAATGTCGCGGTAGCTACGTTGGAATTAGGTTTCATCAATCTTCAAATCTCCTTTACCATATCTTGGAGAAAAAATTTTAGAACTTCAAAATAAATTAACGTACTATATGATAGAGAAACTGAGCGAGAATTTAGTTGAAAATGGTTAATAGAATAGCAAAACATGTAGTTGGATGAAGCAATAGTGTAACTTTTCTACTTTCAGCTTTACATAAGGTTCATTTTTTTAAAAAAAAATAAAAATTAAAAAAAAAAAAGAAAAGAAAACACTGCTCGGGGATATTTGCAAGCATCGGAATGTTGCTTCCAATGAGAATATTTTCGAATCACCGAATTTAATAGTTGATCACAATGAAACCCGGAGCAATGGGATTTAATCGACGTTACTAGAAGAGACTTTCTAGCAACACTATTTAATTGACTTTGTATATAGAGAGCTCCGATTAATTGACGTTGCTAGAAGGGATTCACTAACAACGGAATATAATCAACATCGATTCAAGAGGACTGGCACGCAAGGTTCGCAAAGTCAAGATTCTTACTAAAATCGTTTTAGAGGTTAGAATCGCGAGTTGTAAAATTGTATCTTAGAATTGTAAGATTTTAAGAAAAATTTGTCAAATTTATTGGGGTAGTAAATATTATCATAAAGATTACGTGTGTAATTTAAAAATTATTTTTCATTACCATCTATGCCTTTTTAAATAAAATTACTTAAATTTAACTATTACGCACATCAACAATTACAACTTGATAATAAATACACAAAATCAAATATCTCAAATCACAACTAAATACACAATTTACAACTTAATAATTTAATTAAAACATACAATACTTACTATCGTCTCTTAAAAATCCACCATCAAAACATATCCTAAAAAACCACAATATCAAAAATCAATTACGATTTCAAAACCAAATTTCTCATCGTCATCATTAGTATGATCATTAGCACCATAATCATTGGCATGGCGACACACTTCAAATTCCGATCGGACGCCTCAAACAAAGTTCGAATTAGAGTAGATTTACTTTAATTCTTTCGATTTGAGAGGTGGATTGTGAGTTTAGTGCTTAGGATTTTCATAGAAGAAACAGTGTGTTTTTTCCACGGGAAACAAGTAAAAGTGATGGCCACTGAATGTATTATAGTTAATTTTTCATGATTTATGCCCTATTTCTAGGAATTTAGATGTAAATTAAAAATTTTATGGCCTAAAAATTCATCTCAACAAGTTTAGTTCAATAAAAAAGTTAAAAAAAAACACACCCAAATAGTCAAATGTCTTAGAATAGTATAAAATCGTAAAATCATAAGATTTTAACAATTTTGAAAATTCTAGCAAGATTTTAAAATTTTAATACACAATTAAATGCTAGTAGATTTAGAATTAATACAGTATATTAAAGTCGTAAAATCGTAGATTTTAAGACATAAAGTCGGAATTTTAAAAATTTTGCAGTAAAGTTGAATTGACGCTACTTGCGGACAAAAAGTGAACTACATGATTGAAATGGAAAAAAAAAAAAGAAAAAAAAAAAAAGAGAAGAAGAAGGAATTAGGCTGTGAGCCAATGGATTGTATGTTTGAAAGTTGTTGTCTTTCAGTGACTTCACCGTCGGCTTTAACCTTTGAAAGTTGTTTGAAAGTTGAACCAACTATCCTATGTTTGTATATTAGTTCTTGATTATACAATTGAATATGATCTAGAATAAGCATCCAGGTTCTTAAATCAATAATACTGTCCATGATTTTTCATTTGAATGCTATTTAATTCTTTTTAAAACCAGCAATGATTTTTTTTTGGCGACCACTTTAGTGATGTGCCAATTGTTGCACCAATCTCTATGCTGACTTTGGTGATAAGCTTTTGACTTTGACTCGCTCATATTCCCTCCCATATTTATTATAAAACATTTTGATTTATCATAAGTTCTACCTGAAATATCCTTTTAATCGAAAAAAAACCTTAAATATTTTTTATCGAAAAAAAATCTTAAATATTTTTTCTAATAATTAAGAGAACACACGAATATTAAAAAATGATTTTAAGATTTTTTTTAATTATAAAGACATCTTATGTAAAACTTAGAACAAATCAAATGCCTTTTAATAAGGATCAGAGGGAATAATAATAATAATAATAATAATACTAATAATATAATAATAATAATAATAATAATACAACAAATTCCAACTTCCAACCACAATCGCCCTGCAGATCTCTTCAATGTTTCTCATCCTCCGATTTTCTTTCCCACATCCATTGTATTGTTTGGTGGAATATATTACTATTATTAATCTTATAGGTACTTTTCCTCTTGTAGATTCCGAAAGGTTGTTATAAATGTAGGAAATATCATTTTCTGACCCCCAAACCCTAACTGAATTGGGAATATATTGGGTATGTTGTTGTTATATAATTTTTTGGGTTAACATATAGTGTGATTTTTCCAAAAACAATAAAAAAAAAGTTGGCTTAATTCTTCTTGGTCAGAAAGGTTTACTACCTCCAAACAAAACCAAGTTCTTTAGGTCAGAAAAAGACTGACATTTATTTTTGGAATAGCTGCCAAATCAATCATCAATGGCGGCAGTCAAATACTCTCTTTGATTCTCAATATAAAATATTTTAATTTATCTTAAAGTTTATCTAATATATAATTTTAATAAAATAAAAAATCTTTAAAAATATCCAAATAATCAGAAGAACACAACAAATATGAAAATATATTTTTAAGATTTATTTTTAAATTAAAAATACATAGTGAAACATGTATAAGACAAATAAAAATGAGTTATATTAAGATAAGAGGGAGTCGTCCACATTTGGAGACCCAGCTATTTAATGTCAAAAATGCTCAATAATGTATGCAAGTTGCTTTGCTCAGTTAATGCTGATTTCTGTAATTTGCATCTGACTGACCAATAGATTTTCTTTCCTTTTTTGCCTGAAATAGAAAACCCCAAAGGAAGTCAACAATTCCCATTTCTTGTCCGCTATTTTTTTTTCCAAAAAGAAATTTTTATTAACCAAACATCCTTCTAGAAAGCATTATTACACTGAACAGCCAAATTGTGGGCTAGTCTCACTTCTTGTTCGCTATAAATATCTCCGAAACTTTTCCCACAGTGCATAATTATCCGTCCAAAGATAGACAAGAAATAACGAGAGAGAGAGAGAGATGGTTACGAACGGAGAAAATGTTAGCATTCCGGCTGAAACGGGAATCCTTCGCCGGTTGGCTGACTTCCCGGAAGACATATGGAGTCATCGGTTTCATTTTGATACACTTGCCGGAGATATGCAGGTTAATTAATATACTCACTTCATCAATATTACTATGTTTATCTCAAAATTAGTGTTTGATTACTTTTTCTGTCCCTGAAAAATGGTTTATATTGAGTTTTTAGTTTGCGAATATATAAAACATATTTTAAAACTCAATGTGTACTATTTTTTTTTTTTTACCGGAATGAAGCAACATTTTTTGCAATTTGTCTATTTATGTGATAAATGTACGTAGGTACAAACCTACAAAAGAAATGTTTACGTGATCGTTAATAAATTTACAGTTTTCTATATGTACTCTTATTTTTCAATTGGACAATACATTTTATCAGTAAACCAATAAAACATAACTGTGGTTTTTTTATTAGCCAGTTTTTTTTTTTTTTGTATAAATGTTCTGGCACCCCCAAAAGGCCAAAACCACTAAAGAATACACGCTACATATACTCATCTCAATTTTTTTAGTTATACATTTGTTTTGCATCTCTCTAACATAGTTTTTGTTTTTCTCTCTAACATATTAATTATTTAATAAATTTTGCTCCCTCTATCCCATAATTATTATTCAGTCTGAGTTTTCATTTCTAATTCAAACTGTACTAAAAGTGAAATCTCAAATTGGATAATAATTTTGAGACTGAAGAAATAATTACAATCATTAGATCAAACTCCTAAGGTCGGAAATCATTATATTGGTGGGGTGACTATAATCAAAAGTCAAATCTTGGACGGAAGTTCGCAAGTTTATTGATAACTTTCATTCGAATTTTGGACTAAAAATTTCAGATGTTCATGGAGATGTATGCGGAAGAAATTGAGTTACTGAAGGAAGAAGTTAAGGTTATGATAAATGATGCAAGCAGTAAAGTGGAGGAAAAACTGAAATTGATTGACACAGTGGAACGAATTGGGATTTCGTATCATTTTGGTAGAGAAATTGAAATTCAACTGAAGAAAATATTAGCTCATCGGCAAGCCAACTATGAAGAAGAATTTTCCAGCTCATATGACTTGTTCACAGCTGCACTTCATTTTCGCCTATTCAGGCAACGTGGCTTCAATATTTCTTGCGGTGCGTATTTATTACTCTTTCGTCTCATAATTATTGTCAAATTTGATTTTACGTTGTAATGAAATTAAATAAGAAGGTATGAAACAAAACCCATGTTTAACCTAGCATGTGTCTCAACTAAATTCTTACTCGGTCTGGAGGTCCATAGTTTTTTTTCTCTCGCTCTCTCTTTATCTTTTTTCCTAACACAAGTAGTTGAGAAACTTTTATATGAACAAAGATCATGCACTTCTTCCCAAAAAAAAACAAAAAATTAAATTAAAAAGTGAGATAAAAATCAAGATCGTGCATTTTAAAGTTAGTTAAGCACATATTGGTATGTCCTATCTATGAAATATACAATTTCTCGATAACTTAATTAATATAAACCAACAAAGAATCACAATTACTTGTTTTGCACTAAGTCTTATTTACATTTTTTTTAATTCTTAAATTAAGGTATCTTTCACAAGTTCTTGGATTCTAAAGGTAGATTCAAAGAAAGTCTTTGCAATGACATGAAAGGCTTACTCAGCCTGTACGAAGCAACTCAAGTAAGAACTCATGAAGACATCATTTTAGATGAGGCCTTTGATTTTGCAATCATTCATCTGAAACATGGGATTCAACACATGAGTTGTAATCTTGCCAAACAAGTGAAATATGCCATCACACAGCCACTTCACATGTGTATCCCAAGAGTTGTGGCTCGTCGTAACATCTCAATCTACGAAGAACAAAGTGAATCCCCATGCATGAATCAATCACTTCTCAGGCTTGCCAAGTTGGATTTCAACTTTCTACAACTCTTATACAAACAGGAACTCAGTGAGATTTTCAGGTACGTACGTATTTGTTTGTTTGTTGAACTCAAATAGTATACAAACTGCTCTAATCTCCAAAGGAATAAGCGTCTTTTTTTTTTTTTTTTTGAATAACGAAGTGTCTCTTTTGATATAACCTAATAGGATTACATGTACAATTGCTATTGAGAATATATTTTCTTCTCTCTGTCCAAAAAAATCATCAACATTAAATTTTGAGATTATTAAACTGAGTATAAATGTTTAGGCAAATATATTGTACGATTCCTTTGTCTTAAAAAAAAAATAAAATAATCCATATTGAGCTTTAAAATTATCGTTATATTTAGTATAAATTTCGAAAATTAATGTTAACCATTTGAATTTTGGGCAGAGAGAGTAACATAATAAGTTTATTTGATTCGGATCGCAGGTGGGCCGAGGAGTCAGAAATCATATCTAAACTTCCTTATTCGAGAGCAAGGCTTGTTGAAAGCTATTTATTTGGTCTAGGAATGTTCTATGAACCTTGGCAATCTTTCGGCCGAATCATCTCTGCAAAGACTACACTCCTCATTACAGCAATTGATGACACTTATGACTCTTATGGCACTCTTGATGAACTACAAACTTTCACAGATTCCATTGAAAGGTATGCATACGTGGAAAGTCTCACGCTATTAGTTTTGACAGATTCAAGCAAGTTTATTGGAAATTAAGGTTTTTCTGAAAACTTTAAATTTAAGTATATATATATATATAATATAATATAATTGACATGATTTAATTACATTTAATTAGGTGGGATTTTGAGGAGATGGATCGTCTTCCGCAGTTCATGAGAACTTCGTACGAAGCTCTTTTAGATGTAAGCGAAGGAGTTGAAAAAGAACTGAATAGACAAGGAAGGTTGTTTGCATCAAACAAGTACAAAGAAGAGGTATATGTTCACCTTAATTTTTAATTTTGTACACTCGTTAATTAAGTTTTTTTGGTTTGGTTAATTCAGAAAAACATTTGTTCTTACGTAGCTCTTCAACATATAAAGTTGATCTAGAGTTTGAAATATTATTATTCCCTCTTCTTTTCTTTTTTTTTTTTTTTTGGAGTAAATCACTTGAAATATTGTCGCTTAAGTTGGTCTTGTATACTTTAGTCTTTTTTCTTAAATTTTTTTGAAATCAATTCTTACATTCATTTCTCCGTTTTGATTTCATATAGAAAATGGGAGAATATAGTTAGGCATTTTTTAAATATAAAGATAAAAGAATCATCATTTTTTTCGATTCACTAGTGATGTCTGGTCGCGCAATGCGCGACCCTGGTCCAGTCTATCTGTAGATCTTAGAAATGTTTATATTTGAAAAAAATAAAGTTTGTATTTGGAGCGATATATTTTAGAAATGTTTGAAGGATTTAGAAATGTTTTATAAGTGTGATCATAGAAATATTTGTATTTCGCAAAAAAAAAAAAAATTGTATTTCGCCATGTATGTTTTAGAAATGTTTTATAAGTGTTACTTATTAAATAAATAGCTTAATCGAATATATGTGTTGAAGTAAATGTTAGATAAAATATAAAAGTATCCTAATAAATTTAAATATTAGTAAGATGATTTATTGACGTTCTCTATTGGTCGTGCCAAATCAATACTTAGTTTTGGAGATTTTTAATAGCTTTGTAATAAGTTTCATCCGAAGGGTATACGCTTAAAACAAAATTGACACTTTGTAACAAAAAACCTAATTGATCAATTCAATTTAAAAAACCACTCTAGTTGAATGAAACATAAAGAAAAAATTAAAAAAAAAAACGTGTCACGTAAAGTGCAAAGGGAGATTTAGTAATTTAGTTATGGTTAGACAAAAGGGCAATTTAGTATTTTCTACATGCCACGTGGCAATCATATGAGGTGTTTGAAAGAGAGGTTTTTGTTTCTAATATAGTAAGATATACATACGTAGATATAAGTAGAAAATCACTCGATGAGATAAATCAATTGCAAATTGAATAAATGTCACAATGTAGATCAGATGCCGATACAGAATGCGCGCAATACCTGTGTAGTGAAAACTCGATTTTCAATCTAACAATAATGATGTTGCTTTTGATTGTAGAAATCAAATTACAAAGAAATCCGGATTCACATGTGCCTTGTGTGTAGGGTTTGCTATTGTCTATATATTCCCTGTATATTGTACATAATATACATCAATAGAACACAATTTCTGTTATTCTAACTTTGTACATAATATACATCAATAGAACACAATTTCTGTTATTCTAACTTGGTACAGAGTTAGGAAAAAAAAAAAACCAAAAGACAAAAAACCCTATCCTCTTCGCTTTTCTGGCCGGCCGCATCTCTTCCTTTTCCCCGCCGTCGCCTTCTTCTTCTTTTTCGGCTGTGAGCCTTTCTTCTCGGCCGACGCTCCTCTTCCTCCTTCTTTTGCCATCGAACGTTTCCGCCGCTGACCGACCTGCGTTCAGTTGCTGCGTTGTTGTTGTTTACTCCGCTGCCATCTTTTTGCTGCTGCCCGCTGCTGCCGCTGCTCTGTTGCTTCTTGCTGCCGGTTTTTTGTCTTCTTTCTTTATCACTGCTGCTGCTGCTGCTGCTTCGTGTCTTCCTCTTCGTTTCTCTTCTGCAACCGGTTGCCTCGGCCGATCTCCTTTGTTGGCTGCTCAACGTTGTTTGCTTTGTTGCTGCGTCTGCCAGCTTTGCCGTCTGCTGTTATTTCAAGCTGCCGCTGTGTGTTGCCTCTCTCCGACGTTGCTGCTCGCTGTGTTTGCTGCCTGTTGTTTATTCAGCTTTTAATTGCGGCCACAGTTCTTCGCCGCCGCCTGCTCTTTGCTGCCGGTTTTGACTTGGTGTTACTTGATTTGCGTCCCGGTTTAAGCTGGTTCTCGGTTTTGTTTTTTTTTTTTTTTAATTCTTTCCCGTCCACCGTTGCTGCTATTTGCTTAATTAATTACCAGTACGAACATGACTACGTCCGACCTTTCATCCAAAGAGCAGGCCACCCCTCCTCCTCGGACGGCAACACATCCTTCCGAGACACCAGTGACGCTTCTTCAATCTAGTCTACAGTCCCTCAATCACTCTTTCACAGTTTTCTGGTCGTGGTGGTGGTCGGCGTGGATACACACCTCCCGCACCGAGTGCGACATGTCAACTTTGCGGCATCTTGAATCACATTGCTGCCACTTGCCGCCGTCGTTTTGATGCTAATTTTTTTACTCGACCACCTGCCTTTTCCTCGGCTGCTTATGCAGGTTGTTTCCCCTACACAGCATGCGGCTGGTTTGTTGCCTCTTCCGTCTTACCCGAAGAAGCCGCCTATCTCTTCTCAAGCTCATATGTCGATTAAATGTAACTTCATTAAATGTAACTTCAAGCTCATATGATGTGTATCTTCATTCAATTCAATAGGGCTTGAATTAAATGTAACTCGATTTCCACATCTTTATTTGGTCTTGGTCTACACAGTGGAAAGAGTATGCAAGAAAGAGCTACATCGAAGCCAAATGGTTTCTCAGAAGACAATTGCCAACATTTCCAGACTACCTCAAAAATGGGTTGACCACAAGCTTATGTTATCTCTTAATACCCACAGCTTTATTAGCAGTTGAGAATGCCACACAAGAAGTGTACGATTGGCTCGCAGATTATCCCAACATTCTTGTTTCTGTAGCCAAAATATGCCGCTTGTCTAATGACATTGGCTCTCATGAGGTAAGTTTAAATTTGTGTTTTTCTCTTCTTCGTCAGTTCTCAATTTTATTTTTTTTTTTATCTCCCATAATAAAAGTAGTCTATTGAAATGAGATACCGATTAATTTGTTATGTCTGAAAATACAAAAATACTGCCGTTCTTTTAACGTGCCGTATTTCATTTCTAATGTAATATTAAATACACTTTTTTTAATTATCACATCATTATCTCTTTTTACTTTTAATAATATATATTAATCACAGTTAATTTTCTTTAATTCAATTTTAAGCTTTTGTGTAGCTCTAAACTTTTTAATCAGGAGCAAGAAAGGAGTTACACTTTAATCATTATTTTTTTAATACCTATGCATATTCTGATGCGACAGTTTAAAAAAATGAAAATAATAAAACTTATTTCTCATTGTATATATATAGTTTCCATTATGATGAGTGTTATTAAAACTTCAAATCTGACGATGGACTTTCCTTTGTATGATTTCTCAAGCGTGAGAAACAAATAGGTGGCACTGGGATAGAATGTTACATGAACCACTATGGTGTGATGGAGCATGAAGCGATGGCTAAGTTTGAAGATATTGTTGAGAATGCATGGAAAGATGTGAACGGAGAATGCCTGAAATTGGATTCCAATATTATAAAAAGTGAAACTCTTACCAGATTTTTGAACTTGGCCCGCATAGTTCATGTTTTCTACGAGCATCGAGTCGATGGATTCACCAACGCACGTCAAGTTCTCGAACAACATATAGTTGCATTGCTTGTGGATCCAATAATACTCGTTGCACCAAGTAATTAATGACTAAAATTACTTGTATTATAATTTAAACATTTGTAGAAAGATTTGGATTTTAGTAGTTTAATCTTTTGTTTATGATTTTCTACAATTCCATTTTAATAAAGAATGTACTTTCAAAACCTTTTCAAGTTGAAGGTGAGAAAATATTTACTTGGAATCATAGTTTTTGTTTTACTGTATATGATACTATTTCCAGTTTTTTTATCTGTGCATTAGGATATGCACGGGTGTTAAGGTAATAATTATTGAACCTTTAATATTTAATATAATATATGTTTTCCCTTAATTAAAACTATACAAAAATTTAAAATTAAAGTAAAAATAGTTAATTTCCCCTAATGTATGTTATTAAATTAAACTAAAGAAAAACGAGGGTGAAATTGAAAAAATAGAGGTAGTATTATTTTGATACGTTGAGAAATATTACATTAAGTAAAGAAAAAGTATTTTAGTATTGCAAAAAGTTCTATAAGAACTCCAAAAAATTACTTTATTAATTTGAGGATGTAGTGATTCTATTGGATTGAAATTTTATTGGGTACACTTAAGAAGAAAACAAAAAATAATTAAATAAAAGACGTAACTATCCACTAACCTTAAATATATAGGATAAAGTAAACTATAAATGTTGATTTACCAAGGACAAAAAGAAAGGTCAAACACATAATTCCTTTACAGTTTGAGATTGGGTAGCCCCTTTTATAAAGTTTACGGGAAATGTTTTGATGATTGCCATGAAGAATGTGGCCACCTACCATTCTACAAAATTTGCACATAATTTTACGAATGCCAAGATAAATACTAGTTTCTCTGTCCCAAAATTATTATCCAATTTGAGATTTCAGTTTTAGTACAATTTGAATTAGAAATGAAAACCCAAACTGGACAATAATTATAGGATGGAGGGAGTACATAATAATACAAGTAATTTTAGCATACAACCTATCGTCTAAAGGTTCTATTTCATTTTCTACATTGTGTTTTCATTTCGATATTAGTAAAAGTCTAACATAAATGTCAAAAAAATAAGTTAAAATCAAAAACTTGTGTTCACTTGTTTGGCTAGATATATTGAGAAGATAAAAATCTACCATTGTTAAGAGTCAAATTCCTTTAATCCAATTAAGATTTAAAACCATATACACTAATGATATCGGGCAAAAACCTCTCGCTAGTGGTACATACGAATATAATAAATTGAACATGGATCAAACTCACAAGGCAAAGATAAGACGACATATATTCTACTCACTCAATATATAGGTATTACTGCACAGAAAATTAATTGTCTACTGAGAAAAAGAATTTGCATAAACCTATTTTATCATACTTGAATTGTGAATGATCTCTTCCTTTATTTTTTTCAAATCACAAATAAACCGAAAATAATTATTTAAAAATGAAAAAAAAAAGGGCCTACGATTCATCTTTAAAAAGTGGAACAAGAATAAAAATCATGATGACTGTAATAAAGATCATTTAGAAAGTTAGAGTCATAGAGATGCTTAAAACTAGCATTCGTTTTATTCTTTTCCCCTTTTTTTTCTTTTCTTTTTTTTTTTTTTTTTTGTGTCTCGATTTCAATTCAAAAATGTTTGGGCATCTGAAATATGTAAACTAGAATATTTACTAGATTTAGAGCAAGACGCCTGGATTGTGGGTTTCTTAAAGAATAGTACTAATTTTTTCCGGAAATGATCGTCTAGTATGAAATTTTAATTTTCATATAGATTACACTATAATAATAATCAAACGTGACAATAATTTTGGAGCAAAGTACATAACTCATTTAGACTACATTTGAAATGGTTGATTTATTAGAATAATGTGTGTTTGCAATTGAGATGTGTTGTAAAATACACTCATATTGTCTAGATGATTGTTCAGCTTAAATTTTTAATTTTATTTTAATTTATTCCACAAATGAAAATTCGAACTAAATAATCATTTCGGGATCTGATAGAGTATCAACTTTTTTTTTCAAAAATATTTATTGAACAGTATTTTAATATTTTCCATCATAATCAACGTACCAACATTGGTGTATATTGCAGATAAGTCGTGGGAATCAAGCAAGTCAGCCGCCGGCCCGTGGGTTCGACGACACTATCGGCAGTGATGTGACGGTAAATCTAATTAATGCATCTGTGGTCAAAACTCAGTTTTACTTTAAAGATGTTTTAAAACATTGAATTAAATACAATCTAAACTCTATAATACACCTAACTATCATCCCTAATATATCTTGAACAATTGATAATTTCAGACCAACTAATATATGGCATTTGACAAGCTTGGTTTCTCATGGACATTGATGTTTGCTCCACTATGATTGATTTGCGAGAATTGCTTCAGGAAATTTTTCATGAAGGCAGATAATTGAATTGTGCGTATATGGTAAACGATTAATTAAAAACGACCAATACCTAAGTGAGAATTATTGGTTGGTTAGAAATTTACAGTAAATAATTAAAAGAATGATATGTGAAATTGAAATATATTTACATAGATTCTTGCTCAAATGGAATAGCACATTTGGATGGGAGGTCAACGGAATATTTTTTTTCAAAAACAAAACCTATACAACAATAGTATCAGGCATTCTATTAGTGTGAGCTAAATATTATGCATCACTACTTATTGAGCCTCACTCAAGCTGTGTAGATTGGACATCCAAGACTTTGGTAAGTGATCACACTTCATATTCATCACGGAGATCACTATTTGTTAGACCATTTGTTGGAAGCAATTGGTGGTTTGGTTACTGGTTCATGTTCTTCGGTCAATTTAATAGGGTTTCCGCAATGTCAGTAAGAAGAACACAATCTCTTCTCGCTTGAACTTTAGTAATTCAAAAGGCCACCTCATGTAATTTCTTAACTGTTACAGGTTTTGATAAAAGTTACAATCCCGTAGTGTTTAGTTCCTCGTTCCCACACTATCAAAGGTTGAGTCAATAACTGAACAAATAAGACTACAATTTATACCATCCAATTCTGACAACATCCTATATGTAAGACTACAGTTGATACCCTAAATGATTTCAACACAACAGCAAGAAATCCGACAAAGGCTCGCCAAAGCAAGAAATCTTGCATATTATTGATGCATTTGCAAAGATTTCCAGGTGATACACAAGTCATTTCCCTATGCCTTGAAGATTATGTTGCCCACATTTTGGTCATTTAGACCCTTAAACGATGAAAGAGATCCACAGAAGGGGCTCTATCTCAGACTAATTATCAGTACCCTTATGTGGGAAAACATTCGTCAGTTATAGAAGGATATGTGAACAGTCATCAATCAACACTGGTGAGGTGACCGATAAGCATAGACGTATCCACCTGATGGTACAAAACCTCAAGAAAAAAAAAAACAAAAAAAAAGTAAAGGAAAGAACTACGAGAAACTTGATGATGGCTCAACCCTACAAAATTGATACAGAAAGAAACATCATTGCACGGATCCATGTCAAGGAAGAATTTTTCGGCGTCGGCGAGGAGTCTCTCTCTTAACAAACATCTTTTCAAACTCATTCAGGGGCCGGGTGGAACCATCTGGCTTACTTACAAATTTCCAGCCACCACCATCTCCACGCTTTCCTCGGGCTCCTAATTTCTCAACTGTCATGTTCCAACCCTCAGATGGGCGCCTACGGCTATATTTGTGACATTTTACCTCCTTATTCATCTGCAAGATTTAAAAATTTTAAATCACGCAAAATAACTATAACATTATTAACTTTGAGATTGTAGGGAAAACCCAAAAAGATAACTATTCAAATCTCAAATCTCTTAAACAGGGGTGAACAAGTCAACCAAATCAACATATAAGGTTATTTTTCTTTCACTATGTTGTAAAATTCAGCCTCTTCCAAAGTTACTTTTGCTTGCTCTAAAACTTAGTAAGCGCTAAAAGATTTTTTTGCTCAAAAATCAAACACGATAAGCTCAATCTATTTTGCTTCAAAAAAAAAAAAAAAAACAATCTACAAAGATGATATCATGATTAAATAGAATCTGCAGGAAATGGAAACTAAAATGAGGAACTTTAAGGACTCAGAATCAATAAGACAACTGGCTAAAGCAAAGGTTAAATCAGCGAGGGTGAATGCCTGTCAAATATCAATGATTAATAATCATCTTTCACAATATAGTTTCCCTAACATGAGATTTTGATAAGTAGGATATCCACCAAATACACGTAATACCCTTTTGCTCACGGACCCTGTAACAGTTCTATCACCAAAAAGCCCACATGATTGATGCTATCTTACCGCTATCATCCATTGAAGAACAATACTCACCAACATAATAATGTTATTTCACTAACTAATAAGATAGTATTAGTAGTACAGAAAAGGAACAAAAACTTCATTTTCAGAACAGAAACCACTAAGTTGAAAAAATGGGGTGCATAAAAATAGGAATTCCCAGTTGTCAGGCCTGATATTTGGAACATTGGTGTCATGATGGCAGACAAAAGTCACTTTTGTTATTATACTAAATCACCAGCTTGCTGATCACCAACTAGTGTTTATCACCTTCATTTAAATCTTTCCTTTTTTCCGCTGATTATAAATAACATCACACTACCCCCTACGAACAACAGATTCAACATGGTGAATAATAAAGTTACTAAATCAAACCAACAATAATACAGAAAAGAGGGGAAAAGCAGTACATTTAAGCTTGTGTGGCCAGAAACTTGACTCCAAGTCTCCAAATATAGTTTTCTATTTCCACTTAAATCCAAGTTCAAACAAATATTTGCATATTCCCAGTACATTTGCCAGCAACTTTCTTGATACTCCCTCCATTCCAATTCAATAAGCTCACTTCCCCTTGTAGGATGTTCCAAAAATTAAGTCCCATTTTAGACATTAGCATTGATTTTATCTATGATTTCTCTAATATAACCCCACTACTATCACTGAAATTTAGAACATTTAATTGAATCCAACTCCCAATCTCACCATATAAACTAGCAACCACTAGTCATTAATAGGGAAATATTAGGTGAATTACTCAAAAACTAACTATATAAACTATATTACTCATTTTCCTTAATCGCCGTGTTCGTCTAAATGGGCCTATTGAATTGGAATGGAGGGAGTACAACTTTTCATATTTTCCAAACTAAACTCAATCAATAGCCATAAGTAAATCTAAAACAAAATGCTGTCAAAAACAGGCCTTTCGGCCCTCCAGAAACTCCATTATTAACAACCAACAGCTTACATAATACTTATGGCACCTTGACTGCTAAGATGCATATGCTTTTGAATAATTCAAAGCTAGACATATGAAAACAAACTTTGCAGGCAACCATTTTAAATTCTCATCATTGAGATAAAGATAAGAATCTTACCTTCATCTTGTTAAAGTTCATTCTTTGGACAAACTCTTGATATAGCATCTCATCTTCCCTCATTGATATCTCATAATGCACTTCATCGGGGTCCCTAGTTGTGCCATCCCAGCCTTCAGGCATAACTTTGAAGTCCGGTTTGTAAGGAAGGGATGCAACATGGAACTCCCTGTCATGAGAATTAAAGAATCTGCAACATGCCGATAGAACATGAGTGAAATTAGAAACGGGTAACTAACTATTTCCCATGCCTTGCAGCTCACACATTAAACTAGACAGAGAACTAGAAAAGAAACAATATGTATCAAGATATCTCGCCAATGAATTTTGAACTTAAATAAAGTTCTTATGCAACAATCTGACTACAGTAAATCAGGAATGTAGGTGCTCATACTAGCAGAATGAAAAACATGGAACAGGCCAGTACAAGTATAAAGGACTATATGCTTCCATAACATACCAGACTTGCAACATAATAATCTAAGTATTGACCATTTAGACAGAAGTGTTTGGGCAAATCCATTACAGCAAATAGAAGTCAGTAAATTAACTTGAAACTCCTCTAGTGAGTATGACAAGGAACATCCTCACTGTTGTCAGGATCAACATGCAAAATAGCAAGTGTCTTTTCAAATCCAAAGTACATTGAAAACACACATAGCTCTATATTACAGAAAAGAAAAAAGAAAAAAAAAACAAAAAAAACAAAAATTCACTCCATAGAAGTGTTGTTACACAGATTCTAGCTATTAGCATATGACAAGATCCACCACTTCATCAATTACTGGAAAGTACAAACCAAAGTGCAACAACATTTTATTCCGCACAGAAACATGACAAAAGCTATAATTCAATGACTGGGATTCACAAGAGAAATCAGAAGCATTAATTGCAGATGTCGCCGTATGCATTGGGTCATAAATTAACAAGAAGCTAAATTATATCACTGGGAGCATAATGACATCAGGTGTACTATCCATGATAAATGCATTTTGATATTCACATCTTTCACTGGCTAATGGAGTAGGGCCTGATTACTTGATGCCTTCCGAGATGAAAGCTAATACAAACTGATAACAGGCATTGATAGTTGAGACATGAATACCGCTACGGGAAACTTTAAAGGGAAAAGGTAAGAAAAGATTATGTAAACAATAGCAGTGATGGAAACATCAGAAGCAATGAAATAATTAAGAGTTTAACCAAACTCATAGCAGGTTATGCATGTCCAAACGACCCATTATCGCTAAATCCCTTCAGCCTCACCTTATCTCTCTTTAAGAGGCTGTTCCAGTGACTAGCACCCCTGACTTAGTATACCAGACAACAGCTGGTTTTGTTTTGTTAAGTACCCTTATAAAGATTATGAAACTACAGTAACACAATGAACAAACTGAAAATTTTCAACCAACACCGATTATCCATCATCTCAACAATGCTTCACCTTTGCAGCAAGCTAGATGAAATTTCAATGGCAATAACACATTAACCAAAAAAATGATATCCTATTCATAAAGATAACTAACAACAACAAAATGCCCTAAAAAACCCTAATCAATGAGAATATTGTTTGGGAGAAGCGGGGAATTCCACTCCACGTGATTCAAACCAAAGCAAAAGAAATTTCCATCAGCAGTACCCACTATCACCTAATCCCAAAGTTCAACCATACAAGATAACACATACAAAACCACCCTAAAATAATTATGTTTAACCCATAACAGAATAGAAATGAAAGTAACCCCAAGAGACAGAATATTCAATAGAGCAGCTCCAATTAACTATCACATAATCAACGTAATCAGTATGAAATACTTACTCAGGGAAAGTATCAAGCAGTAGCTCCACTGAATCATCTAACTTACGGCCCAACTTCTTCTCTTCCTCTTCTTCCAATTCCTTCAACCATAGAATAGCATGTACTCTCTGCCTCATTATCCTGTACTCTTTTGCCAATTTCTCCACAGTATACACCTCAGGATTCTCCTTATGCTTCTTATACATCTCGGCTTTCTCCGAATCCTTTAAGTATGATCCACGCGCCCCTGGTTCCCGCACTTGTTTCAGCAGCACACTCATTTCACTCATCCTATCATCCCAACTGTCCACAAAGACTTTCCCTTTCCTATTCGCAGCCTCCAACTCCTTAATCTTCATTGTTTCCTCATCAGTCCACCTTGCACGACCCATATGGGCACTGCCGCCGCGTCCTCCAACACCATATTCCGGCCGGGATGCGTTCGGAGCCTGCCCTGGGGCCACCTGCTGGCCAACAACCTCGCCGTCAAAGTGCTCTTTCGTTAGCCCAGTAGACCACGAGGAATCAGGGGTGTCCCATCCTAAGTTATCATCTCCTCCTCCGCCGCCACCGCCGCCGAAACTGCTTCCCCAATCATTTGGATTGTTGCCGTCATTGCTTGTGGAGCTCGAAGAAAAGGGCAGCAAAGACGATAAACCATTTGGGTTCTTAACAAAATGGGGACATTTCCTTGATTGGTTTATGGAGGAGACCAAGCGTAGCAAAGCTCGCATTTTTCTTAGATGATTTTCGGGTTTTCGGCCAGTGAATTCAATTTCTAGATTGGTCAGCAGTTATTGAAATGGGTTTTTTTCTGGAGGTGGTGAACAGCGGCGTGTAAAGATTTAGGGATTGCAAGTTGATGCAAAAAGAAAGAACAATCCCCAATAACTCATGTAGAAATCAGTAGGAACCCAATTCGAACAAGAATCAATCTAAACTAACGATGAATTTAGGTTAAACAAGAGATATGATTTCATTAATTTCTGAAATTAGGATTGAGGGGATTTAATGGAAAAGGTTATGGTGAACCAGGAATTAGGACATATATATTGGTTAAAAACAAAGTCAAGCCATATTTGAAAATAAATCTATAATTGAGGTCATCGTTGCCTAGAGATAATAAGTAGTAAAGAAAATGTTATTGTATTGATTCAATAATTTTAATTTGCACTATTATTATCATCCTGCTTTTTTTAATATTTTATATTATTTTTATTTAACATTTTCCAGAAAAAATAAACATATTAAATATAATCACGTTAACTTGGCCCTAAATTTGGTTAAATTGTTAAAATAGTACTCCCTCCGTCCTATAATTATTGTCCAGTTTAGGTTTTGATTTTTAGTTCAATTGTACTAAAAGTAAAATATGAAATTAGACAATAATTTTGAGACTGAAGGAATATGAAACTAATAGTGCGAAAAATAAGTGAAAATGTACCATGAAACTGGGTGCACTCAAGATGGTCTCAATAAAATCCTCCAAATGTAGTCCACGTATTTATTAATCCTTGTGTGTGCTTACTGCTGCTGATCATTTTTTGGCCGCTTTGGTCAAAACACTTGCATCCTCCATTTGCCATGTAGTATTAAGAAGTTCATTCGCGTCAAACCATTAAACGTTGTTGAGTTAATGAATAGTTGTTTGAGAAATTTTTATTTATTGATTCCACTTTAATAATGTTTATGTAAACCTAAATCATGTCAATAGTATCGTGTCGTGTCAGATTATATCTATGTAAATTAGATTATGTGTGTTTAGATTTAAAAATGAAGAGCCCTTGTAGTTAGTTTAAGTCTTCTTGTTAAGAAACTGCACACTTCAATGAAGCTGGACGAGCACATAGCTGCAAATGATGAAGTATGCTAGTTTAATCCTTCATATTATTCTAGCTGGAGCTGGTGGGAGTGTAATGATGCAACTATTATATATATATAGTCCGTGAATCTTTTTACATCTATTATTGTGTAATGTGTGCTGTATAGTTTATGGTTTTCATGAGTTATTACATCAACCCAAGTAAATGGCCGTTTTAGTTCAAAACGGAAACACATGTCCTGTTGAAATCTATAGAATTTTGGGAAGTCAAATTCTTTCTTACTCCTTCAATTTTTTTGGCCAATTTTAGCAATTGACAAGAATTTCATAATACGTAATGCATCTGGTGGCAGACTGACAATCCGTTACCTTCCACAATTTTTTGTTACTAAAACAAAATTCTAAATCTTACATTCCCCCTCTCTCCTAACTTGATTAGACTACAATATACCCCTTGTAACTATTCGATATCTTTTCATCTTATTCTCATCAATTTTAATCATGGGACTCACAGTAATTTGGCTATCTATTTAAGTTTAATCACATCAACGGTCCACCTACCAAAATCCCATGGTAATCTTAATCATACGAGGTTCATTAACATTAACTAAAAATTATAGAAATTGAGATCATATGAGTAAACAATAATTAATCTGTGAGTGTAAATACATAGACAGAGTACAGCACAATCACCAAGTTATTCTTTTTGTGGTTCCCAATAGTAAAATAGCCGCGAGGAAAACAGACGTTAGTCCATTGCAAAATAGTACTTGTTCAAAATGGCTAGAATTTCATCCTTGCCTTGTGTTTTCCTTCTCTTGTTCATAACTTGTTCCATGACAATCTTTCAGGTCTCTCTCTTACTTTAAACAACTATTCACATCATGGACTATTTTTTATTAAAATGGTCATTGATTTACAACAAACATTATTTTTTTTGTTCGAAACGGAAGGAATGATTCTTGTCTTATGTTTTGTCATTTTATTAGGTTGGGGCTGAGAGATCATTGCAACAAAGAAGTCGGTATCCAACAGACACTCCAGTGGGGGTTATCATGCCCTGTATCTGCTGATCGTAAGTATATTAGGTTAAGTAATAATGTTGATCATTTTATTGGCAAATTGTTTGTACAATTAGTAAAATCAATGTACTAATTTTGATGATTTCATTAACAGGATGTGGTGCCGAATGTGATCGTCGATGTTCAGCAATGTCTCACAAGGGAAATTGTCTTGATGGATGTAATCTCTGTTGTGATAAATGTTTGTGCGTTCCACCTGGTACTTTTGGCAACAAGGAATATTGTGCATGTTATGATAACTGGAAGAACAAAGAAGGCGGCCCTAAATGCCCTTAATTTTAATTAGTTTATAGTCGTTATTACAACACGTATTGTCACTATTGATTAATAATGTATGATTGATGATTATGGGTTAGGATAATTCATTTAATAATAAAGATCCATAATTCATCTTAATATTGTTACTGATTATGGTTCTCTTTTTCTTCAAATTGTTGAAAGAATGTTGATAAGAGAGTTTGATTTAGGAAAAAGTCGAATAACATAACATGTATGTAAACATGAACTTAACCAAATCACTTTTATTGTAATATTTAGTATATTTCCTATAATGTCCTAGTTTAGGGTTTGTTATTGTCTATATATAGTCTGTATATTGTGCACAACAAATCATAAATCTAATACAATTTCCCTGTTCTAAGTTGATATCGAGCTAGGTTTAAAACAACCCAAAATTTTTTTCTCTCTCTCTCTTTTCTTTTCTCTTCCCGCTACCGGTTTTTCTTCTTTGGCCGTGCGCAATCCCTCTACCACCACACACAGCCGCCACACACAGGGTTCTTCTTCCCGTGCGCTGCCGTCGTCCCGCTGTTGCCGTATTGCTGCTTCTGTCGGTGTTCACCATTGCTGCCGCCTGCTGCTACTGCCGGTGTTCTGCTGCTGTTGCCGGACGCCTGCTGCTGCCGTCTCGTCGTTAGGTGTGCTGCTGCTGCTGCTCGATCGTCGGCATCGTCGGTTGCGGTGTTCCTCCCTGCCGTTTGCTGCTCTGCCGCCGCCTGCTACTGGTTTTTGTTAAATCCTCTTCAATCCCTTTGTGCCCCATTCTCACGTGCTGCTGCTTCTTGTAAACAACCAACCAACACAAAAAAAAAAAACAAAAACCCACAAAAAAAAACCAAAAAAAAAAAAACCACTTGGGCTTTATTAAGTCTTGATATCTTACTTTCAACGATGACTATCACCGACATTTCATCCACCGACCAGGCTACCCAGCTTCGCCCGGCGGCACCTTCTTCACAGACACCAGTATCACTTTTTCAACCTAGTCTGCAATCTCTCAATCATTCTTTCACTATGAAGCTGCAATCTCGAGCCAACTATTCGTCTTGGCCTCTTCAATTTACTCCTTTATTGACTATGTTTCGTGTTACCGGTATTGTCGACGGCACCGAACCTGCACCTCTACGTTTTCTTCCTTCCGTCAGTGGTGCCGCGCCTCAACTCAATCCTGAGTTTGATATCTGGCAGCAAAAGGATCAGCTGGTCCTCTCTTGGATTCTTTCTTCCGTTGCTGAAGACATTTTTCCCATTCTCCAGGGCTGCACGACGTCGACGGCTGTCTGGACAGCTCTTCAGCAGGTTTCGGTACTCTTTCTTATGCTCAACAGACCCAGCTTGTTATGGAGCTCCACAGCTTGCAAAAAGGTGACTTGTCGGTCACGGCTCTCCTCTCCAAAGCGAAGGGTATCGCAAATACACTGCAGCTTGCTGGCCATCGCATATCTCCTGCGGAGTTCAATGCTATCATCTTCCGCAAGCTTGGTGCCAGATTCAATGGCATCATCGGAGCTTTGCAGCAGTGATCCGAACCCCCCTCCTATCAAGATCTCCTTGGTCAGTTAGTTTCGTATGAGGTGCTTCTTCACGCCCAACAGCCGGTCCTTCAGCCAACGGCCATGCTTGTGCAGTCGCCACCTTCTCCTACGCCGCCTCAATCCTCTCGTGCCAGTCGCTCGCAATGCGGCGGCCGGTGCAATCAGGATTCTGGCCGTGGTGGTGGTCGGCGTTGGTACACCCCTCCAGCCCCGGGTGAGACGTGTCAGATTTCCGGCATCTTGAATCACTTGGCCGCCACTTGTCGACGACGTTTTGATGCTAATTTTGTTCCTCGACCCCCTGCCGTTCGGTCGGCTGCTTATGCCCAGGCAGTTTTCTCCTGCACCACATTCAGCTGGTTTGTTGCCTCTTCCGTCTTACCCGGAATCGACTATGTCTCCTCAAGCCCATATGGCGCAGTATGCCCCTTCTGTCACTCCCTGGCATCCAGACACTGGTGCTACCGATCATGTCACGCCAGATTTGTCCTCTCTCAGTACCTCTAATGATTATACTGGTACGGATCATATTTTAGTTGGTAATGGCGATGCTTTACCTATTCAGCATGTTGGTCAATCTGTTGTGCCATCGTTTTCTCGTCCTCTTTATTTGAATCGTGTCTTGCATGCTCCTTCTCTTACTAAGCCTCTGTTATCTGTTCAAAAATTTACTCGTGATAATCACTATTTCTTTGAATTTTATTCTGACTCTTGTTGTGTCAAGGATCTTTCAACCAAGGAACTCCTCCTCCGCGGTCGGGCTGATAATGGTCTCTATCGCTTAGATCTTCCTGCTCGTGGTTCCTTGTCTCCAGCAGCTTATCTTGTCTCTTTAGGTCAATGGCATGCTCGTTTAGGCAACCTAATAATGTCACTCTTCGTACTTTGGTTAGGCAGTTTCAACTCACTCATTCCTCTGTGTCCACGTCCACTGATAAATGTGAGGCGTGTTGTTTAGGGAAGTTGCATAGGGTTAGTTTACCTTCTACTTTTCATTGTAGCTCTAAACCTCTTGGTTTAATTCACACTGATGTTTGGGGCCCTGCTCCTATTTTGTCATTCAATGGTTATCGCTACTTTGTGCTTTTTATTGATGACTTCTCTTTATTCACATGGATTTATCCCATTAAGTATAAAAGTGATGTTGTCCATGTTTTCAAGCAATTCAAAGCTCTCGTAGAAAATCAATTTGGCACTACCATTAAAAGTGTTAACTCTGATTGGGGGTGGTGAATTTCGTTCTCTCAATTCTTTCTTTAAGGATGTCGGTATTGTTCATCGTTTAGCGTGCCCACACACTCATGAGCAGAATGGCACTGCTGAACGCAAAATTCGTCACATTGTCGACGTTGGACTTGCTCTCCTTGGCCATTCCAGTACCCCCTTTCGGTTTTGGGATTTTGCTTTTGAAACTGCTGTGTTTTTGATTAATCGCCACCCTAGTAAACCTCTTTAAGGTCACCTACCCTTCACTACACTATATCACCAGCCACCTGATTATACCTTTCTTCGTGTCTTTGGTTGCGCTGTTTATCCTCTTCTTCGCCCTTATAATAAACATAAATTCTCCTTTCGTTCTACTCAATGAGTCTTTCTTGGGTATTCTCCATCTCATCTTGGTTATCGTTGTTTTGATGTGGTACATAACCATCTTTATGTTGCTCGTCATGTTGAGTTTGATGAGAAACTCTTTCCCTTTAAACGCCCTATTTCTACTTCTCCTTCTTCGCTGCCGGAGTTTCCTGCTACCCCTTGGTTGCGTGTAATCAGTTCTCCTGGTATGCTTGCGTCGTCTTCTGCGTCCTCTTCGTCTCCTTCTAGTACATTAGTTGTTTCGTCTCCTCCTATCCCTCCCGACTTATCATCTCTAGCCAGTTCTCCTGCATCCAGTTCTTCATCATCTGATTCTAGTCCTCCGCCGCCACCTCCTCCTCCTTCTTCCCGTCAGCACTCAATGACACTTCGTCCACAACCCAAGCCCAAGAAAATCTTTGATCCCTCGGCTCATCTTACCTCTGTTTCCCCAGCTTTTTCTACTGCTCCTACATCCTTCACCCAAGCCAAATCCTTTCCTCAGTGGCAGAATGCCATGAAGGATGAAATTTCCGCCCTCCTCAACAATAACACATGGACTTTAGTTCCCCCTCCTTCCTCCGGAAATGTTGTCGGCAATCGATGGCTCTATAAGATTAAGACCCATGCTGATGGCTCCATTGAGCGGTATAAGGCTCGGTTGGTGGCTCGAGGTTTTACTCAGTCTTTTGGGGTTGATTACACTGACACATTTTGTCCGGTTGTTAAGCCGGTCACCATTCGCTCGGTTTTGACTGTTGCCTTGGCTCGTGGATGGTCCATTTCTCAGCTTGATGTCAGTAATGCCTTTCTTAATGGTGTTCTAAGTGAGACCGTGTATATGGTTCAGCCACAGGGGTTTGTTGATCCGGTGCCCTCTCATTATGTGTGTAAACTGCATAAGTCACTATATGGTCTTAAGCAAGCTCCTCGGGCCTGGTATTTCGGCTGGCAGCATTTCTGCTTACCTTGGGTTTTGTGGAGTCTCGTTGTGATCCTTCCCTCTTTGTTTATCGCCGTGGCCCTCAGTTGTGTTTTTTGCTGGTCTATGTGGATGACATTATTCTTACAGGCAGCACTTCTGGTTTGGTCCAACATTTTATCTCTTGTCTTGCTAAGGAGTTTTCACTTCGGGATCTAGGTCCGTTGAGTTACTTTCTTGGGGTCGAGGTTCATCGTACTTCCAAGGGTTTGCTTCTCTCTCAGCGCAAGTATGTCACTGATTTGCTACGACTTGCAAATATGCATACTTGCAAACCTATTTCCACTCCTTTGCAGGCTAATGTTGTGTTGTCCCTCTTGGATGGTACTCTGTTGTCTCCTGATGATGCGACTACTTATCGTCGGTTGTGTGGCAGTCTGCAGTATACTACTCTCATATCTCCTTTACGGTTAATAAGCTTTGTCAGTTCATGCATCAGCCTCGCACTTCTCATTTTCAGGCTCTCAAACGGGTTCTTCGCTATCTTCGTGGTACCGTTGATTGCTGTTTAGTTCTGCATCCTATAGATTTGGGTACTCTTACTGCGTTTAGTGATGCTGACTGGGCTGGTTGTCTGGTTGATCGTCGTTCTACTACTGGTTTTCTCATTTATTTGGGACCTAATCTCATTGCCTGGGCATCTAGGAAGCAGCCCACTGTGGCTCGCTCGTCTACTGAGGCTGAGTTTCGTGTGGTTGCTAATGTCTGTGTTGAACTGCATTGGGTGTGTCATCTGTTGTCCGAGTTAGGCGTTTCTTTACATCGCCCTCCCTCTATTTAGTGTGACAACAGTAGTGCAGTTTTCCTTGCTGTTAATCCTGTGTTCCATGCTCGTACAAGACATGTTGAGGTTGATTTTCACTTTGTTCGAGATCATGTTCGGCGTAAGTTTGTTTCGGTCAATTCTATCTCTGCTGCTAATCAGCTTGCTGATATTCTGACAAAACCTTTGTCCAAAGAGTTATTCTTTCGATTCTGGGACAAACTTCGGCTTCTCTCTTCTCCGCCGTAAGTTTGCGGGGCCGTATTGTAATAACTCTTTGGACTTAAATGTCCTAGTTTAGGGTTTGTTATTGTCTATATATAGTCTGTATATTGTGCATAACAAATCATAAATCTAGTACAATTTCCCTGTTCTAAATACTTTAATAATCATTACTGTTAAATCAAAAAAAGAGATTTAATTCGTAACTGTAAAGGTAGCTGCTAAAATAATGCATATTTAATCCTTGTCTTATTTTGTTAAGAATCACTTCATTTGATTTCTTACTTTGGACCGCATGAAACTATCAATACATGCATAGTAAGCCGCTTCGGATGAGCAGTTGACCGATTCGACTGAGTTGTTCACTGAAACAAATTAGAGCTCATTTTTTGTGAATTGCTTTTAGGTTTGCTGATGATGTTTACAGACCGGATAAAATCACGCGCCCCCAAAAATTTCCAATAAACCTCTGAATTAGAGCTTTGCACGTGCTGGCCTTTAAACCCAGTACCCATACACTTCTACTCAAGTTCCCTTCAACCCATATCTATGCATGCAAGACCAATGAATGAGATTTAGGTGTCCAATCGGACTTATCCAAGAAGATATATATATGTGACCTATGCTCTGGAACTCCTCAAGCACTCTAAAGCAAAAGAAATTGTGTTCAAGGTCACCAGACCAGCTATTCTCAAAGCCATTTCAGTAGCTGATATTCTCAACTATAGTGTAGTGGGTTTCCAAGAAAAATTAGCTTCTACATCTCTATTGCTACCGCCACAAAAGGTACCAAAAATTACAACTATTTTGTCAATTGCGGTGGAGGAGGCTTCCGTAGATCAAAGTGAGACCAGGAGCAGCAACAATTCGCAACTAAGCAATGGCAATCGGGATTTTGAATCGACAAGGCACAACTCAGGGCAGGGATGTTTGAATGGTGCTTACCAAATGGGTCGGACTCGATGAAACCGGTCGAATTTGCCTGGAAAATATTTTGCTGCAGTAGACCTAAATGAATGCCAGAGGAAATCGATTCCAAGATCTCAGACTGCAGGCAATACAGTGTGCTCGGATAAAAAAGGCCTCAAAAAAATTTGGCAAATCAAATATACTACCAAGTATACCCAAAACCCTATAGCGGAGGTAATGAACAAACCGGAATGTAGTAGTGTTCTTTAGATTCCAGAGAATCAACCCGGGTTGGTCGATGGGTTCATTCCTAAAATTCCACGAGATAATGGTGGTGAAGAAGAAAGATTTTTAGGATAGTTAACCCAGTAACAGTAAAAAAATTTGGTATCAGCTGGTGCACTAAATCTGGAAAACTATCACCAGCTAGCAAGAGGTGTGTAAGCATCAGCCACTCACCCGACCCGAGGTTCAGGATGTCTTAGCCCAGAGCAACAAGAGGAAAGCAGAGGCAAGAAAAGAGGGGGAAGGACTATATTGCAAAAAGAGAATGTTGACACACATATGGACACCTGGACTTATGGAACTAAAGGCATGTGTTTGGGCAGGGATTGCGAAAATAGAATACACTAAGGTGGTCTCGGCAGCCACTTTTCACAATTTGCGGAGTACTCCGGTGACAGGTAATATTTCTAACCTTCTACAGTGTTTTGTAACAGTTGAACCAGATCAACTGCCTTTGGTTTTATGAATATTCTTTCTTGGAATTGTAGAGGTATGAATAATATCTCTTCTAAGCATGTATTAGGTAGATCAGTAAGGAGTATAAACCTAGTATTTTGTTTGTAATGGAAACCAAAGCTAGTACGGCATATGTAGATGTATAGCAACAAACTTTAATATTTAGAAATTCTATTGTAATAGACCCGATAGGTCTTAGTGGTGCACTAGTCTTATTTTAGTTAGATGGTGTTAATCTTACTGTGCTTCCGCATAATTCCAATGTAATAGTTGTTAAAGTGCGTGAGTCATCAGAAGTTGAGTGGTTAGCCATATTTTTGTATGGTCTTTCTTCTCACCAAGGACGGACTGAATTTTGGTCGCAACTATACTATCAGTAGTTTGCAGTATCCATGTATCATTTTAGGAGGCTTTTATCAAGTTATCAACCAAGAAGATAAGTATGTAGGAAGATTAGTCAGAGAGCAAGATACAAGAAAAATTCGACATTTCATTTCTCAAAATGATCTTGAAGAGCTTAAGCATATTGGTTATTAGTACACCTGGACCAATAAAGACACAATCAAGAGGCCATTTTTGAAAGACTAGATAGGGCTTTTGTTAACAGCCAATGGTTAACACAATTCTCCAAAGCAATCATCAGGAATCTTTCTATAATGCATTTAGACCATGGACCTATTTTGGTTCATCTAAGGGACAACGATCATAAAATTAGAAAAAGGAAGAGGTTTGAAACAATTTTGGACCAATTGCCCTCACTCATCTCAATTGATTCAATCGGCATGGTCTCTGGATGGTTTACGCATAGAAGATCATCAGAAGAACTTTTCTTACAAGCTGCAAAAGAATCTCACCTCACTTTACAGTTAGAGTAAAGATTGTTTGGAATAGAGGGAGTAACAAAGAACAATCACAGCTTCATTGATGCAAGAACACAAGAACATTCATAACAAGAAAATTACATTTGGGACAATAATAATACTAATATTTTACCCAACATTCAAGCTCTAAGCCCTTTTGAACCCTCGTTATTCATCTTAATTAGAGCATTGTGATTTTTTTTCCTTGTTTTGGAGAATGCACATAAGAGGAAGGAAAGTTGCTTGGGTCGCATATCCTGCACCAAATACAAGTGAAATTGTCAGTGTTCTTCGAAAATGGGCTATAATTCTGGTCAAAAGTACACTGCAAAAAGAGTGAAATTAGAGATGAACAGCATTTTACCAAGATAGTGTTTCGGATCAATTGCAAGCTTGAACTTGTCTCGATGTTGGTATAACTGTTTCGAAAGCTTCGACCAGTAACGCCACCTTTTTCTTCCGCGCAGGACGTAACTTAGAAACTGCTTGCTGAATAGCATAATCAATCATCCATTCGTCCGCATTTTTGCGTTCATCAATCATTTGGTGCTTGAGATCAACCTTCTCTGCTTCAGGATCAGGTTCCAGGGTCAGGAAATTCGGCCCTCTGGGATTAAATTCTCTTTGCTCCTTGCAGTCTTCGGAACATTTCTTCCCTCCGCTTCTCCATTTCAGTTTAGCACTTGTTTGAGCCCCTGATTCTTGACGCAAATCGTTTCCTGAAGTATCCAATGCGCTGGAGGTGTCGCACGGACTCATGGATATCATCGATGTTTCTTCGCCTGGACAAAAATTTTCAGTTATCAGAATCAATGGATTTGTCATCAGTAAACAGAACTTAGGTCTATGAATTCTGTTCTTACCTGCAAAAGTTTCATCAGATCTTCCATTAAGGGGTTCCAGATGTTTTTCTGTATCTTCTATGTCATCTTCATTGGTAGAGCATTTTTCTTCCCTGTATGATTCAGCTACATCATCTTGTTCTTCTTGCTCTTCATCCTCGCCATCGGACGGAGGATTTGATCCTGCCTTTGAACTTTCATCGATCATGTCATGGAAATCTTGGGATTCCATATCCCAAATCTCTTCAGCTACTTCATCACCCTGCGCAATCTTATCTTTTACATTAGCAATTATTAAAGTAAAACTCCTCAGTTTTTCTATAGTATTGAGAAATTTGTGATTCACTTCAAGGCATTTTGGATCAACATTGCAGTCAGCACAAAACAGTTCTTTGATGTGGTTCTCCAGGGGGATTAGGCCTGTTTTGCCACATTCTTGAGGGAGCCCATCTTCTTCAACTAATGAACCCTGCATTTGGCGGCTGTTGATTTGAGCTTCAGGGCCTTCGATGTAGTACTGAATCTCAAAATCTCGGTAACTCTCGGCTTTAGAGCTAATACTTTCTCCATCAAACATTTCTTCATCAAATGGTTGTTGCAGAAGCCCACCATCTTGAATTTCCTCCAAGAACCGTATCACCGAATCATCAGCCTTAAGAACCCAATTACCGGGGAAGACGCAGCTTCCAAACTGAATTGGGTCTTCATGTAAGTCCAAATCTTGGATGTTTTTGAGGGAAATGGTGTAGTTATCCGCTTCACAGTCCGTATCAGAAAATTCAAACTCTTTACTGTCTATTGGTATGATTTGTCTTCCTCCAACCTCATCATGTGACCAGCTTTCCAGTTTATCTTCTATGCCCAGATTCCCGTCTGAAAGGATTTCCTGAACTTGCTGATTGTCAAGATCATAAGATGTTTCTTCAACAAATGGCTTATCAGTATTGACAAATTCAGTGTGTTCTGCTGTCCCTTCTTTTTCCTTGCTGTAAATTTCGACGAAGAAATCTTCCTGTTTCTCTTCATCTGTGGATGGATCATCCAACTTCATTTGCTCTGTTAGATTTTCTTTCTGCTTTGTGGGACGCGGAGAGGTACAGAATCCCAGCTTCAAACCTCTCTGAGCCTTTAGCATCCGCCGCCTCGAGGCCAGAAAACCCCTCAACGGTGGCAAAGGAGGATGACGATGGCCATTCAGAGAACAATAAGTATACGGGCAGACTTTCATGACCGATTTCCCTTCTGATTCTGTTCCTCCGGAATTAAGTTCCAGGTAAGCTGGAAACTTAGAATCCTTCAAGGTTGAAGAACATGTTGCCCTCTGAGGATTTAGTTTCTCACTCAGCACTCCAGGGAAGTTTCTCTTCTTCTTCACTACTGAAGAAGATCTCACTGGTTTAAAACTAGTAGTTTTTGTCAAAGTCCTAACCAATGATACTCTGGCCCCTTTATTAGGAACAGAGGAGTTTGAGCTGATTTTAGCTTTGTTCTTCCATTTTGGGCTGCAGCTGGTGGAACTGGAAGTTTTTCCATCAGATAATAATAAAGCTTGAAGATTCTTGGAACTCACCTGATGATGAATATGTTCCTTCCTTGCATCAGAACTGCTTGTGGGCTTCATGTAATTAGGCATGGCTTCATCAGAATATGGTTGTTTCCCTGCAGACTTCTTTATTGGGGAAGAAGAAGAAGAGGATAAAACAAGTTTTCCTGGTGGTGGTTTTCCAGGTTGAGGAATTTGGCTAATTCCCTTAGTAGTTGCTGAACTGAAGCACTGGATTTGGTGATGATCAGAACGCTTATTAGTTGGTCTTGATTTCTTCATTTTCTTCTTGGAATCGACGCCTACGATAATCTTCCTCGAATCATGATGTTGAAAAGATGGTGATGAGGGTTTGATCAGGTTCAGAAACAGTTGATTGGTTTTAACCTGATCAGCTTGGATACCAAGCTTGTTTGTCACCTTTCTTTGCACCATATTCAGAGGAAAACTATGGTAGTAATAGTAGCCTTGGACCAAAGGGAATTAATTGAAGAAGTTTCCTAGTTTTGGTTTTTCTGTTTCTTTAGTTGGACATTTTAGATGGAGATGTCTTACAGACCTCAACAACTTTGAGATTCCAAAGTTTGGTATGGTACTACATACTTTTTTTTGGTTTATCTTGGGTGGCTTTTCTTTAAGGATATTTCCACTTGGATGCACATATATGAGAGGTGTTTTGAGCAGGCACATCGCATTCCGACTAATTTTATTCAGTTATGATAAATGATTTTCATGAATAAATGTCAAAGGGATTAATAGTGATTCTCTACTTAACTTTGGTGTAACTTGAAGTCGTAACTTCTCAAATTCGTAACCTATTAAAAACAGGAAAAGCGTATTACCACTACACTGCACCTCATTCTAATGCAAACAATAATTTGAATAAAGTTTTAGATGACTGTTCGATGCTGACATGCACTAACTAATTAGTTTTTCCTTTTTACAATATGAATAGGGCCCTCTGTGGTTGGAGTGTTTTGGGGATTGATTGTTGTCCACTATGATAAGGAAATTCTGCTACTAGTGTCTACATTTGGCACTATCGTAATCCTTTTGGTGATCACAAAGTTGTTATTTAATACGCTATTATTGGAAAAAAAAAGCCCCCCCTAAATTAAAAAAAAAAAAAAGGAACAAACCAAAAGGTGAAGCAGTTAGTTTTGTAACGAAAAAATAAAAAATATCTATGATTTTGACGTTGAGACCTGCTCCTTAATCTAATTTTATGAGCTTTATAATATGGACGCAATGATTGTTTGACAAGGTTTAACAATTTCTTTCTCATTGTTTCTATGTTTTTGCTACTCATTAGAAATGTTTAAATTCTATTAAAATTTTGTTTTTGACTTATTTTCTCTCTCATTTCCCATATTGTACTGCATCTATCTCAAAATGATTGTCATATTTTTAGACTTTTAATTTCAATAAAATTATTATCATTATATATAAAAATTCAGAACGTACAATCATTTCAAGGAGGGAAAACTATTACCTCTATGAACTCCGCACCACCTTTATAAAATTTTTTACTCCGTCGTTTGCCAGAAGCTTACAAAATATTATCTCTATCCCAATGTGGACTTTTCTTTTGGGAAAGAGAAAATATTAAACACAAATGTAGTACTTGAAAGTTTAAATTCAGATAGTTTATTGCTTAATTAAAAAAAAGGAAAATCGAAAAAGAGCATATCGAATACTTTACTGGTCAGTTTATTTCAGAGTATCGGATTCTTTGCAATAAAAGATCATAGAAACAAGAAAAATTGCCATATTTCGTTGAAAAGAGAGGGGGGAAAAAATCCAAATTTACAAGTTAAAAACTCCCTTTCTTCAAAACGGCATCCTAAGAACCAAATTTCTATCAAGAATTTTGTGTCGGGGAAAATAATATTCATGTTGCTACAAATATGTGTAATTTACAAATTATTTGAAGCTCTGTTATCAAATATTAATGGTTGAAGATAAAACTATTACTACGACACAAAAAGATTTCGAAGAACCACTACTCTATTTTGTCCAAGCAAAATTATCTATACAAAATAGAATGAGTATTCTTTTTTTCCTTCTTTTTTTTTTTTTTGAAAATGGAATGCGTATTCTTAATTCACTAGAGTTCTCAAGAAGTGTAACATAATTCACTTAAAATGAATTTCGGTAGAGATAACTTACATAATAAAATATAAAATTATAAGTAATATTTTCATAATACATGATTTATACGAAGTGGTCACTTGGCATGTCAAAATGCCATTCATAAAGCCCCAAAAATGTTAAAATATATATATATATATATATATATATATATATATATATACTAGATGCTTGCCCGGGGACGTCTTCCCACCTAATAAATTAATATGTAAATAATTAAAACTGATTAGAAATGAATAAATGTCCGTGGGCGTCCTCCCACCTAATACATTAATATGTAAATAATCAAAACTGATTAGGAATGAATTTAATTTTTAATTAAGATAATTAATTTGTCGAAAATTAATTTTTTCAAAAATCCTAAATAAGTGGAGAAGGAAAGTTCTATTTACTGTCAAATTCAAAATTTGAATGAACATGGACATCTGATCTCTTTGTTAATATTATAAATATATTTTTTGTTTTTAAAAGAGGGTAACACGTGACAGAATGGTTTATGCAATATGGTGCATTTGGAGCCAAAACCTTTTAATAAGAAATTGTCACATCAGCATCTTGTTTCCTGCTTTAATAGGGTAAAAGGGATATCTATATATATAGATATACATTGTCTTTTTTTTTTTCTTAATTTACTTTTTGTTAGAAAGGGAAAAAGTTGAGGTTGGAAAAACAGGGAGGAAAAGTGAAGAATATGCAAAGGACAAAGTTTGTATGCTGAGGTTTACTTTGTTGATCGTAGACCAAAGGAAAAAAAAACCAGATAAATAAAAAATGTGGTCGGTCTAATGTGGCCGCAGCTTTACGAAAAGGGAATTATGTTAATAATGGTCGGCCAATTATGGGCCTCCAGTAGGCGCCCCACCAGGAGCGTTTAATATAGATACGCTCCTTTCTCTCCTCCTCCCCTTCTGAAATGCCTGAAAAAGAGGAAAAATTATTGGCCACGTGGAAAAGAATGCCGAACCAAGATGAAAGAGGGAAAAGAAAGATAAAATTTAAGAGCACGAAATGGTGGTGGTGTGCTTTGAAAAATCTTGGGGCATGAAATGAAAGCCATTCGTGCACGGGGTATAACTGTGCAATAAAACTTTATGCTCTCTCCCTCCGCCTCCGAATAATGGTAAATTTGGATTTTATTTTTTATTTAAATTGTTTTAAACATAAAAATTCAAGTTAAATAATTATTTTGGCTGAAACATCGAGATATATGTGGACGACATGGTGATCAAGAGAAACAGAGATGAGCAAGTAGTCAAGGATATGTGCGAGATCTTCTTGATTCTCCGCAAAATTAATATGAAACTTAATCTAAAAAAATGTGCCTTCTGCGTAAGTTCGGGTAAGTTCCTCGGGTACCACGTCTCCAAGGATGGAATTAGTGTTGATCCGGCAAGAATCGAGGCGATCCTAGCCATGGAAGCCCCGACGAACATCAAGGAAGTTCAGAAACTTACAGGATCCCTGGCGGCCTTAAACAGATTCCTCTCTCGAGGCCCATAAAGAAGCCTCCCATTCTTTCATACACTCCGCAAAGGCAGAAAGTTTGAGTGGAACGAGGAATGCCAAAAAGCTTTCCAAGAGCTGAAGGACCATCTTACACAGCTGTCTATATTGTCTAAACCTGAACCAGGGGAGACCTTGTATGTGTTCCTCGCTGCTTGAGAGAAGGCCATATCGGCCGTCCTAGTCCAAAACAAGGACGGCAAGGAGATTCCTATTTACTTCGTCAGCAAAGTGTTATAAGGAGCAGAGTTACGATACACGCCCATGGAAAAACTTATTTTAAGTTTGATTCTGGCTGCTCGACACCTACGCTCGTACTTCTAAACACATCCAATACGAGTAATGATAGAGCAGCCTATTCAACAAGTCCTTCTCAAGCCTGAAGCCTCTGGTCGGTTGATGAAGTGGGCAGTAGAGTTGGGAGAGCACCATATAGAATATAAGCCACGAACGGCGGTTAAAGGCCAAGCGTTTGCAGACTTCCTAGTCGAGATACCACGTTCTGATCATGTTCCTCAAGTCGAAAAGCCTAAGAATTACTCCGCTGCCCACGTCGAGATAAGTCCTCGAGCCTGGACACTATACGTCGACGGCTCTCGTTGCGACGAGGGGGGAGGAGCCGGTATCATATTGACAAAGCCATCAGCTGATCCCGAAATAAAAAACATGAAAGAATATGATGCGGAGTATACCTATGAATTAAGATTCGGCTTTCCGGTTACTAACAATGTGGCTGAGTACGAAGCATTGATAGCAGGTCTAAACATTGCTCTAAAAGTTGCGGTCCAAAAAATCCAAGTCTTTAGCGACTCTCAGGTGGTGGTAAATCAAATCGTAGGTGATTTACAGCAAATGATGGGCAACTCAAGCAATATCTAGAGAAAGTTCTCGAGTTAAAAGATAAGTTTGAAGAATGCAAAATCTCCCACATCATAAGGACAAAAAACACAAGGGGGGATGCATTGAGCAAGTTGGTCTCCTCGAACTTCGCGCACCTCAGTCACAAGGTTTGGGTCGAGATCCTCCCTGAGCCTAGCATTCGGAAAATGTCGACAATGACTATCAACGAGGATGGTGACACTTGGATGACCCCATTCATTCAGTATCTAGCAGATGGAACGTTACCCAATAATAAGTCCGATGCTCGAGCGCTCCAATTGAAAGCGCCCAAGTACACGTAAAGAGATAGAGTGTTGTACAAGCATGGATACCTGCTACCCATGCTACGATGTGTCAGACCAAGACAAGCAGCATACATCCCCGAGGAGATTCATGAGGGATCATGCGGAGCACACATGGGAGCCAGGGCACTCGCTAAAAAAGTACTGCGTTCTGGGTACTTTTGGCCCACGATTTTCAAAGATGCATATCAAGTCATGCAAAAGTGCGATAGATGTCAACGCTTTAGCCCTATTACTCAACAGGCACAACACGAGATGGTCACCATTCAAAGTCCTTGGCCATTTTACCAATGGGGCACCGATATCATCGGCCCTTTTCATCCAAAAGGGGCAGGAGGAGTACGATGGGTAATAGTAGTGGTAGATTACTTCACCAAGTGGGTAAAAGCTAAACCGTTGGCCTCAATATTTGGAAGACAAGTGCTGAATTTCTTCTGGCAAAATGTCATCTGCCTCTTTGGAGTTCTTAAGGTTTATGTCTCCGACAATGGCACTCAATTCGAAAGTAACCCTTTCAAGTCTTGGTGCGAAGAAATGCAAATTGAGCGTCGGTTCTCGAGTGTAGCTCACCCTCAAGCTAATGGCCAAGCAGAGTCTATTAATAGAACTATCCTACATGGAATCAAGACCAGGCTACGCGACGCTAAAGGAGCTTGGGCTGAGGAACTCTCCCATGTCTTGTGGTCATATCGCACCACAGCCCACTCCTCGACAGATGAAACCCCTTACAGCTTGGTCTATGGCATGGAAACGGTTCTCCCAGTCGAAATAGGCCTTAGAAGTCTTCGTACAATCAACTTTGTCGAGAGTTCTAATGACGATGATATCAGGCTAAACCTCGACCTGCTCAAGGAACGACGAGATGTTGTTAGGATAAGAGAAGCAAAGTACAAGGAGATCCTCAGAAAACACTATAATAAGCGA